CCTTTATATATTTTTAATAATTTTTATTTACTGGTGCTCTTACCCGGAATCAACCCAGGGGCCCTTCAGTCCGCAGGCCAATGCTCTATCCACTGAGCAACACCGGCCAGGGTGGGTAGTGAGCCTTTTAGGCATATTGGCTTATGGAAGCTTTCTAGTCCTCAAAGGGAGGTTGGTCTGTTCCTTATTTGCAGATACAGGGACAGACTCCAGGACGTAGAATAAGTTGCCCAGGATCATAAAACCAGTCAGTAGTGCCTGACCGGTGTGGCTCAGTTGTTGGACATCTATGAACCAGGAGGTCATGGTTCGATTCCTGGTCAGGGCACACGCCTGGGTTGCGGGCTTGATCCCCAGTAGGGGGCGTGCAGGAGGCAGCCGATCAATGATTCTCATCATTGATGTTTCTATCCCTCTCCCTTCCTCTTTGAAATCAATAGAAATGCATATATTTAAAACAAAACAAAAAAGCCAATCAGTAGCGACCTGAGGTGCATGTGCCTGAGGTCATGCCTGTGACTTGCTGTCGCACGCGCGCGCGCGCGCGTGTGTGTGTGTGTGTGTGTGTGTGTGTGTGTGTGTTGGGGGGGGTGTTTGCGCACCGCTTGCCCTCTGGGCCTGTTCGCAGAAGCGTTGCCGACGCCCTCGCAGGCTGCCAGGCCTCACCTCCCGGGACGTGTGTCTCCTTGCGCCCTGCAGGTCCCCGAGCACTGGCTGGCACAGCTGCTGCGTCCTTCCCGTGACCCATTTCGGTTGCTGCACTGACAGCTTTCCCTAGAGAGATGATGCCGCTCAAGCGCTTTTACTCCGGCAGAGCCAAGAAGTCCTGGGTCCCAGACCTGTATGACCTAGACAGTGACTTGGCTCAGTACCCGGAAGCCATCGTAGGAGGAAGTCCGACTGACTCTGAATTTTCTCATCAGAGGTTTCGGAATTTCCTCTACGTGGAATTTGTCGGGCCTCAGAAGACTCTGCTCAGACTCCGAAACCTCTGCCTGGACTGGTTGCAGCCGGATATTCACACCAAGGAGGAGATCATCGACCTCTTGGTCCTTGAACAGTACCTGAACATCCTCCCCGAGAGGGTCAGGCTCTGGGTGCAGGCTCGGCGGCCGCTGACCTGCGAGAAGCTCGTGGACCTGCTGGAGATGTACCACGAGGTGTACGGGCCTGAAGGTGAGGCGGGGTGGGGTGGCCACAGGACAGCACACCTCCCTCCCTGGCTGCCACAGCCAACCGTGTGATGGGGATGTGTCCCCTGGGGAGCAGTCACCAGGTTACACACCAGCCACCCCCATGAGGCACCGGCTCTGTTTTTTTTCATCTTCACCCGAGGATATTTTTTCCATAGATTTCTAGAGTGGGAGGGGGGAGAGAGTGAGAGAGACATCTATTGGTTGCCTCACTCACAAGCCCCTATGGGGCTGGGGAACCTACAACAGAGGAGCACGTGCCCTTGACCGGGAATCCAACCCACGACTTTTCATTCCTTGGGCCGATGCTCTAACCACTGAACCACCGACCAGGGCCCGGTTCCCTTTTGGAGACCGACGGGTGTGGTGCACTGGGAAGTCATATGTGGCTGCAGTTGTTGGGGGTGCCGTCACAGCCCAGTTTCCACCAGGGTGGTAGCAGCTGAGGGGTGAGGGGCTCAGAACGCTCCAGCGTCCCGTGGAGGTGGATATGCGGTGGGGCATGGGGAGACCCGAGAGTGGGCAGGTGATGGTCAGCGCTAAGTGGGTGTCTGCTGTCCTCTTAGACAACGGTGTCAACATGCAGATTGAAGGCAGATTGAACCGCAATGGAGTAACCAACCCCCTGGCACGTGCCCTCTATTTCTGCAGTGAGTACCAGTCGGGTCATGCCGCCCAGGGGCCCTGTCCTCCCATTTCCCAAAGGTTGCACAGTGGGCATCGGGGCCTCTGAGGGCGGCTGCTGCTGCTCCGAGATCTGAGGGGGCGTAGGTTAATTGATAGTAGATTAGACATTTTATACCCAAGCCAACCCTAACAGTGAAATGCAAGACATGTATTGTTAGGGGTGGAAGTATTTAGTATGGAAGTTTGCAGTGGGCTGTTTCAAGCTGCACCCATAGCCTTCCCAGGAGGGGTGAAGCTCTAAAGCTACTTCACTTGTTAAACAGTTCTTCAGTGAACTTTAAAAAAATTTTTTTAATCAATTCTCTTTTTAAATATATTTTTATTGGATTCAGAGAGAAAGAGAGAGGGAGATAGAAACAACAATGATGAGAGAGAATCATTGATGGACTGCCTCCTACACGGCCCCACACCAGGGACGCGGGGGTATATGGCCCAATCAGGAACCGGGTTGTCATGTCACCTCCTAGGTCAGTGGTTCTCAACCTGTGGATCGCGACTCCCTTTGGAGATTGAACGACCCTTTCACAGGGATTGCCTAAGACCATCAGAAAACACATATATAATTACATATTGTTTTTGTGATTAATCACTCTGCTTTAAATATATTCAATTTGTAACAATGAAAAGATATCTGGCATATCAGATATTTACATTATGATTCATAACAGTAGCAACATTACAGTTATGAAGTAGCAACAAAAATAATTTTATGGTTGGGGGGTCACCACAACATGAACTGTATTAACCCCTTCCCCAGCAGAAACGTGTATACACGTTTTCACAAAATGTTCTTTTTTCAGTCGTCGACGAGTATACTCGTCTAAAAACTTTACCTTCAAAAACCAGCTACATACGTACCATTCTAAATAATTTCATCTAGAAACTTTCTGAGGAAATACTATTCTTAACCACAAAAATGGGAAGAAAAAATAATTACAAACTGTTTTCAACACCAGCATCAAAAGAACCAAAATAAAAAAATTAGTCTGAAAAAGAAATGTTTTTAACAAAAAAATTATTGGGGAAGGGGTTAAAGGGTTGCGGCATTAGGAAGGTTGAGAACCACTGTCGTAGTTCATAGGTCAACCCTCAGCCACTGAGTCACACTGGCCGGGCTGTTCAGTGAACTTTTAGGAGTGTTGCTGCCCTGACCGGTTTGGCTCAGCGTCGGCCTGCGGACTGAAAGGTCCCAGGTTCGATTCCGGTCAAGGGCATATACCTTTGTTGTGGGCACATCCCCAGTAAGGGGTGAGCAGGAGGCAGCTGATCGATGTTTCTAACTCTCTATTTCTCTCTGTAAAAAATCAATAAAATATATTTTAAAAAATAAAAATCATCATTCTCCCCTTTAAAAAAAAAAAAAGGAGCATTGCTTTGGGGGAGGGCGTATGTTTTGTAAGTAGAGTAATGTGCACATTGAGAGAGGCTTGGGTAACTGGACAGCAGAGGGGCTGATGTCCATCTTGGAGGTGGACTTGACCGTGTACAACCTAGGGAACCGCAGAAGTGTCTGCAGGGGGCGAGCTTCTGAAGTAAGCATCAGAACTTGCTTTAGAGCAACCCCCATGTAGTCAAAGCCTCCAGAAACTGCCCCAGGCCTAGGGTGATGGGTAGAGTCCAGGTTGCCCTTGGACGTGTGGAGACCTCTATGTGAGATCTGATTCCTGAAGGCAGGAGCAAGGATGGTGTTCTTGTTGAGGGGGCTATGCACATGGCGGGCGGGGGCACATGTCAGTGCTGTGCTCACCCCAAATGTCTGGCTTTCGCAGGAGACCGGGACCGGGATTGGGACCAGGACTGGGATCGAGACCGAGCCTGGGACCGGGCCTGGGACCGGGCCTGGGACAGGGCCTGGGACCGAGCCTGGGACCGGGGCCGGGCTTGGGAGCGAGCCCGGATGCGGGAGCGGGAGCGGAGGGCCAGAAGCAGGGACCTGTCCTTGCGAGACCGCTGGCCGTATGGCAGGATCCCCAGAAGCAGTAAGTCCTGCGTTCTGACCTTCCTAATGCGCCTGCAAGGCTGGCCGGGCCTTTTCCTTCATGGGCCTTTCTCTCCCCAGGGTTTCCTCCCCGGGATCTTTCCCTTCCTGCTTCGATGGAGAGAGCATTTTCGACGGAAAGAGGGCGCCGCCGTCGGAGCTTTATGCAGTACGAGTTGCAGTCCCAGGTATGTTTCGGTTCCCTCTCTCCATTACGTGGCAGAGCTGCCTTTTTTCCCAAGAGGGCGTGTGTGCTCATCTGCCCCCTAAAATCCCACCTGGGCGGGGAGCCCCAGTTACTCTTGAACGGATCCCAGGTCTGTCCCCAGCGGTGGCAAGTGGCCAGAGTGACCGCTTCCTGTTTTGTGCCTCCTCCACGTGTCAGAGGAACTCTCTGCTACTCAGGAGTGAATCGCTTGGTGCCTTGCATATCGGTCATGTGGGCATGCGGGGGTGCAGCCCCCATTCCTGGGGGACTCGAGTGTAGCTTGTGCAGCTGTGGGCACCACTGGTGATTACAGATGCAAAGGGAACAGCTGCTGTAGAGCTCCCCACGTGCGATAGATGAACAATTTTGCACCAAAGCATCATTTCTCTTTCATAGGGAATTGCCATTCAGAATTTACTGTACATTTATTATCCTCCGATGAGGCCAATGGAATACAAAGATATGAAAACTGCCTTTTCCCTTTGGCCATTGCCCTTGGGGTCTGTTAACAACAGAGGTGGTGACCCTGCTGACTCCCTCAGTCCACCAAGTTCTTGACCTGTCTGTGGTCTGCCAGCCCCCACGGGAGGAGCTCGGGTCTCCTTGCTGCCTCACAGGTGCCTCTTCACACCTGAGCCCAGCACAGCTCTTGCTCTCGAACTTCCTGTTGCTTCAAGTGATGGGACTCAGCCACGCAGGTGGTACCTGTGCCAGCTTTGCGCTGCCTCCTGATCTCTCCTCGCTCATTTGGGTCCTAAAGGTCCTCAGCGTAACCTAGTTTCATTTTTGAAGCTCTGCGTAGTTTTGGTGGTTTTTGGTGTCTAATCACTGGGCACGGACACTTGCTCTCCCCTTAAATCCCAGTGCCTGTGCTCATGTATCTTTCCCAGTAGAGATGCACCTAATTGTGCAACTCCTTTTTTTGCTGCATTTTCTCTCTGGAGGCCCATGGGGACAGACTCTGGTGAGGCCTGCGTTGGCTGTTTTAGGGTGCAGTGTCAAACCAGGGCGCAGGGAAGCTCACCGAGGGCAGGAAGGTTCAGAACTCAATTAATGCCCATGCCACTCGCCAGCAGTGGAGCTCTATAATACATTATCAGAGTATGTTTACATAGGGTTTAATGTGTGTTTCCTTTACATGCTTTTTCCTATGTAAACCACACATCACATTGCAGAACAGCCTCCCCCACGGCACTGCCAGGCGGGCTAATGCCCTTCTCCCCATTTTGGAGAACCTGAGGCTCAGGAGTTTTCTGTCCCCAAGGCTGCACAGCTCAAAGGCTGCAGTTCTTCTTTGGCCCTACTCTGTGGCTCTGAAACCTGTGGGCTCCCCACGGCCCCTTCTCCCTCCTCCCGTGTCTCAGGCCTTGGTGCCGTACTCCCTGGGACCACCGCCCTCTGCAAGCAGCCATGTCTTAGTGCAGCAGTAAGACAAGGTTTTGCATAGAAGGCTCTCTGAGTAATACAGGGAACTTAACAATTCTTTTTAAGAAAATATCCATTAGAACACAAAAGACAGCTGTGAAATGAAGGCACTCAGTGCCTAACATCACCCCTGGGTTATTTGGAACTTCTACATGCCCAGAGGAGCCCACAGTGTAGCCGTGTTGTGCAAAGCATGTGTGTGCAAGACATGGATGTGTGTGTGTGTGCAGGGGTGGGAGGCTTAAGTCACACTTCCTGATCAAATGTCTGCTAAAATGCATTTCTTTCTGTTCCCCGCATATGCCATGCATAGTCGATATTTAGCCTGTTGAAGCTTTCCCACCAGCCCCCTCTCTCTGTGTCAAAATATTGCCCACCACTGAATGCCCCACAAAAGACTCTCTACAAAACTTTTGCTCACTAGTCCAGCCCACCCTGAACTGTCCCTCTACTAAGCCCATTTAGCACTGATTATCTGTACCCCACTTTATTGTTTATTGTTCTCTAATTGTTTCATGAGTCTTTTCTCTCCAACCAAATTATAAGCTGCATGAGGGCAAGGAATGTGTGTCATACGTCTTTTGGATCTTCCTCAGACTATAGCGCCAAGGTAGGTACAAAGTAGGTCCCTAGTAAAACTTGACTTGGACCACTCAGAACCCCAAACGCTGTGAGCACTTTCTACATACCTTTGTATGTTGTAGCTCCCATGTCGCAAGCATTCTTCTCTCTCTGGATGCCCCTCGGACAGGCCCCACTGAGAGGTCCATGTTTGCTGTTTCAGGACACGATGTCATACCAGGACATGGTGAAGCTCACTGAGGACAGGAAGGCGCAGAACTCGATCAAGGACAACATGGAGAACTACAGGAAGCTGCTGTTCCTGGGTAAGCCACTGCTCCCGCAGGCACTGGAGCATTTTGCCACCTTCCTCTTTGCAACTGCAGGATGGTAGAGTCCACGTTGATCAATCTGGACTTCAAGGGTAATCAGAAACCTTTGAAAGATCTCAAAGCAGAAGCATAAACAAAGAGATTTCTGTTTCTAAGAAATCCTTCTGGCTCTGGGTGCAGACCCTATTGCACAGGGTTGGGGGAACACAGAGATGGCACTTGCCACAAGAGCTGATGCTTTCATAGGTGGTGACAGCAGACTTTTAAATACACACTCAGGACGGGACCCTAACATCCCATGTGCACCTCCAAGAAGAACCTAGCTTGGCCTAGCAGGCAGTTGGCCGTGCAGGTCTGGTGTGGTGGAGAGAGAGCTGTACCGAGAGTTCTGTGTGAGGCAGTGGAGCCTTGAGGAGCTCCAGTGTCGGCAGAAGAGGCAGGGAAAGAAGAGTCAAGAGGTAGGAGGACACCCTTGGAGGCCAGTGAAACAGGACATCAAGATGGAGGAGGTGGTTAGGAAAAGGTGAAGCCTGAAAAAGATGCAGTGAGTTTAGGGAGGCATGAAGGTCTCTCTGTACAAAAGAGTAGGTGGAGTCAGGAAGATTAATTACATTCACATTAGAACGAGCTAAGGAATGGTAGTAAGGAAGTGAAACTGCAAATACAAGACACCCCAAGGATTGGATTTGGGCTACTTCATATTTAGTGGCTCAGCGAAAGGCAGACATCAATTTATAGTGCTGAGTCTTGGTCCCCAACTTGAGTATGAGCTGTCGTATTATTGTGAACAGGGCTTCAGCTTGCCGAAGATGATGGCCACTCCCACATGACACAAGGCCATTCACGGTCAAAGAGAAGTGCCTACCCAAGCACCAGTCGAGGTAAGCACTAGGTAGATGACGCATAGTGGCCACTTTAATCGGTGAGATGGGCACTGATCTGTACATACACACAGCGAGTCCTCACTTAACGTCCATAGGCTCTGGAACTGTATGTAAAATGAGCAGGCTAATTGATGTCAACAGGGTTAAGTTCCTACGGCATCTCAGCAATGTTAAAATGAAACAATATCACTCGAGGACCTGCTGTACTGATAAGCTTTGAGCAATTTATATTCACACCACCGTCACGGAAGACCTACTGTGATTTTGCACAAGTACAGGAACTAGGGAGTATTTACATTTCGTGTTTCTTTTCAGGTCTGAGAACCATGCCTGAAGCCAAAAAGTCAACCCATCGCCGGGGGATCTGTGAAGAGGAGGCTTCGCATGGAGCGATCATGGAAAAATTCAAGAATGTTTGGCAAAACCCCAACTCGGCAAGAGCGAGAATACCTAGTGACCGGTTTCCAAGGGTCCCCAGAAGGGCAGACCACGATTGGAAAGACGTGTCCTTAGACAGAGAGTCGGTGATTCAGGAGGGGGGCTGTGCAGAGAATGCCTGTCGGGGAGCTTGTAATTGTAACTCAAACCTTGTTTCCAAAAAGAAAGTTCTCGAGAGAAAAAGGCGCTATGAGTTTGACACCGATGGGAAGGGTTCTGCTCACGATCAGAGAGACTCTCCCCGGAAGAAACCCTTTGAAGGCAGTGAGATGAGAAGAGCCATGAGCATGAGCAGCCTTAGCCCCCCTTCTGCCGAGTCGCAGCCGCTTGATTTTGCCGCCATGCCCTATGTGTGTGATGAGTGCGGGAGGGCTTTCGGTGTGATTTCTGAGTTTGTCGAACATCAGATCATGCACACTAGAGAGAATCTCTATGAGTATGGTGAAGCGTTTATCCGTAGTGTGGCTGTCACTCAGAAAAGTGCGGCTCGGGGGAAATGCTTTGAGTGTAAGGAGTGTGGGGAAACCTTCGATAAGACAGCCGATCTTGCTGAGCATTGTCAGATTCACGCTAGAGGGCATCTCACAGATTGTAATGATGAGGAATATGAGGAGCCCTTCATGCCTAGCCCCACCTTCAGTGAGCTTCAGAAAATGTATGGGAAAGAGAAATTCTATGAGTGTAAGGTGTGTAAGGAAACCTTCCTTCATAGTTCTGCTCTGGTTGAACACCAGAAGAAAATCCATGGGAGAGATGACAAAGATGATGAAGTCTTCAAGCCCAACCCAGCCTTTAAGGGGCTGCAGAGAATGCATGCTAAAGAGAAGACGTACGAATGTAAGGTGTGTGGGGAGACCTTCCGCCACAGCTCATCGCTGAAAGAACATCAGAAGATTCACACCAGAGAAAACCTGTCTGAAAACAAGAGCAAAGCGTGTGAGGAAACCTTTATTGTTGGTCAGCCCATTAGAAGGCGTCAGAAATATTTCTTACAGGGAAACTTCTGTGGCTTTAACGATGATGGGGCTGCCTTTGGGCAAAACCTATTCCCCGGTGAGCATCCCTCAGTTCATTTTCAGAAGAATTCCTATGAAGGCGGGGCGTATGGGAATTCTGTCATTCATAGCAGGCCCTTTACTGAGTCTCGGAAGAGTCATACTATAACAAGACCACCTGAGAACGAGGACGAGAAGGCATTCACCATTAGCTCTAATCCTGATGACAACCAGATGACCACTAAAGAAAATGTCCTTGAGAAGAAACCAAATGAGAGGTCTGTTATTCATAGCTTATCTTTGGCTGAAGTTCAGAAATGTCACAGTGCCGTGGGGCCCAATAAACCAAAAGTGATTGCAGAGTCTACCATTACAAGCCCAAATATTACTGAACAGAAAATCCATGCTGGAGAGAAGACCTCTGAAGAAAAGAAGAATGAGAGGTCCGTTATCCATAGCTTACCCGTTTTCAAACTTCCCAAAAGTCCCAGTGGAAACGAATGGAATGAGAAGGGAGGATTCTCAAATCTTCATGCTAAGCAACAGAAACCTCCTGCCAGACCCACCCCTAATGAAGGGGACAAGAGTAACAGCTACAAGGACTCTGTTATACGCCGTGTATCTGGTACTGAACCTCCAAAAAGTCTTGCTGCAGAGGGAGCCAATGAGTTTAAGAAGGATGGCCAATCGACTGTTACCAAATCAAATGTCCCTGAACATCAGAAGGTTCGTGCCAAGAAGAAAAACGTCGAGCGCAGGAACTGCGAGACTTCAGTAATTCACTCCCTGCACTTCGGTGAACCTGAAACCGTTCGCCCCAGAGAGAAACTCTATGAATGTCCAGAGTGTGGAGAGTCCTTTGTTCGTAGCTCCGACCTCACTGAACATCAGAAGATTCACCATAGAAAGAAGCCTTTTGGAAGCAAAAACTACGAACGATCTGTTATTCGCAGCGTAGCCTCCGCTGATCCACAGACAAGTTATGCTGAACAGCCAGTGCAGGTGAGATATGGCCAAGAGCCGGAAGGGATGACTTGCATTCAGCAGCCAGAGCAGGCTAGTTTTCTTGACGAGCTAGTGGAGATGAGTTATGTGAAAGAGCCAGTGCAAGGTTACGGTCAGGAGCCAGTGGGGCTGACCTGCCTTCAAGAGCCAGAAGGGATGACCTGCCTTCAGGAGCCAATGCAGAATTGTTTCTTCGAAGACCTAGTGGAGATGAATTATGTTGAGGAACCAGTGCAGGGTTACGGTCAGGAGCCAGTGGGGATGATTTGCATTCAACAGCCAGCACAGGCAGGTCATCCTCGCCAGCCGGGAGTGAGTTCTGCTGGACAGCCAGCACAGGCAAGTCATCCTCGCCAGCCAGTGGGAGTGAGTTCTGCTGGACAGCCAGCACAGGCAAGTCATCCTCGCCAGCCAGTGGGAGTGAGTTCTGCTGGACAGCCAGCACAGGCAAGTCATCCTCGCCAGCCAGTGGGAGTGAGTTCTGCTGGACAGCCAGCACAGGCAAGTCATCCTCGCCAGCCAGTGGGAGTGAGTTCTGCTGGACAGCCAGCACAGGCAAGTCATCCTCGCCAGCCAGTGGGAGTGAGTTCTGCTGGACAGCCAGCACAGGCAAGTCATCCTCGCCAGCCAGTGGGAGTGAGTTCTGCTGGACAGCCAGCACAGGCAAGTCATCCTCGCCAGCCAGTGGGAGTGAGTTCTGCTGGACAGCCAGCACAGGCAAGTCATCCTCGCCAGCCAGTGGGAGTGAGTTCTGCTGGACAGCCGGCACAGGCAAGTCATCCTCGCCAGCCAGTAGGAATGAGTTCTGCTGGACAGCCGGCACAGGCAAGTTGTGCTCGGCATCCAGTGCCGCAAGAATGTAAGGACTGTGGGCAATCCTTCGCGACCATTGAAGACCTTGGTGCCCATCAGAAAATCTACACTCAAGAGGAGTTCCATGGAGGTTCTGTTATTCGGGGTGCAGTCGGTGGCAGGCCTGAGCAGGAAGAGCCTGAGCTGGAGGAGGAGGAAGAGGAGGAAGATTCAATCTATGGATGTAAGGACTGTGGGCTGGGCTTTGCAGATCGGGCCGACCTTAAGGACCATCAGAAAGTTCATGGCAGAGAGTACCTCGTCGACACTCGTGAGTACACGCAGTCTGTAATTCACACCCATTCCATCAGCGAGTATCAGAGAGACAACACTGGAGAGCAGCTCTTCGAATGCCCAGCATGTGGCGAGTCTTTCGTTCACAGCTCATTCCTGTTTGAGCATCAGAAAGTTCATGAGCAAGACCCATACTATGGCCACAGGAGGTATGATGAGCCTTTTATGAATCCTTTCATCATTAACCCACAGAGGTTCCGTGCCCCACAGGCAAATCCTACAGCGATGTATTTTCAGTGCCATGTGTGTGGTCAAGATTTCATTCATGGCTCTGTCTTTAATGAGCATCTGGCACTTCACATGGGAGAGGGCTCTCCAGAGCAGGCCCAGAGGAGCAATGACACTGTCAGTGCAGGCTTGGCCCTCGCCGAGTTACAGAGAAGCCAGGCCGAAGAGAAGCACTACGAGTGTGGAATATGCGGAGAGGCCTTCCTCAGCCAGGCAGACCTGAGGGAGCACAAGAAAATCCACGAGAAGGATGACGAGCCCTACGATTACGGGGCTTCCTTCGTTCATACCTCGTTTCTTACCGAACCCCCTAAGGGAGAGTCTCCATTCTTTGAGTGCAAGGACTGTGGGAAGTCCTTCATTCACAACACAGTTCTCATTAAGCACCAGCAGTTCCATGTTGAAGAGGAAGAAGCAGCAGCCCAGGAAGTCGAAGCCAATGTTCTTGTTCCACGAGAAGTTCTGCGGATCCAGGGGTCGAACATGGAAGCTGCCGAGCCAGAAGTGGAGGCCGCTGAACCTGAAGTAGAGGCTGCTGAGCCCAATGTGGAGGCCGCTGAGCCCAATGGGGAGGCTGAAGGACCAGATGGGGAGGCTGCGGAGCCAAATGGAGAGGCCGAACAGCCCAACGGAGAGGCCGAACAGCCCAACGGGGATGCTGATGAGCCAGATGGCGCAGGAATCGAAGACCCCGAAGAGAGAGAGGAAGAGCTAGAGGGGAAGGCTGAAGAGCCAGAGGGAGATGCTGACGAGCCAGATGGTGCAGGGATCGAAGACCCAGAAGAGGAAGATGAAGAGGAAGAGATTCAGGTTGAAGAACCATACTATGACTGCAGGGAATGTGGAGAGTCCTTCACTACCACCTCGGCCTACGGGGAGCACCGGCAGACCCATGCCAGAGTGATCATATTTGAGTCTGGAAATGTCTATGGGGAAGGCTCCCACTACACTGGGCAGGCCAGCACCAGCACTCAGGGCAGCGATAGGGCTGACGACAAGTACTTCAAATGTGATGTCTGCGGTCAGTTCTTCAGCGACCGCCTCTCCCTCGCTAGACACCAGAACACCCACACTGGCTGAGAGCACAAGTGGAAGGATGGACAGCCTTTCCTGGCTTAGGACCTGACCCTCACAGCAAATCCACAGCAACCCATAGTAACGTCAGAAGGACACTTAGCTTGTCTTGTACACACTGACTTAACCTCAGATAACTTGGACTGGAAAGGAACTAGAGGCGGTTCCATTGGTCTTACCTCTTTCCCCATCATACACCAGTGCGTGCATGTGGGGAAGCCACAGCACATCCCTTTCATCCTAGTGACCAGGTTGAGGGACAGTCCTAGGAGAGCTGAGACTACAGAAATAGCCCCAACCAAATGATACTTCTCTAACCTATATATAACTTTCCTGAGCTGTATATAAAATAGCAAATCATAGCAAACAGTAGTCACAGGTACTTGGATTTAATGATACAGAGTTACAGTTTACTGTGCAGAGATACCTCCGTGGTATGCTTTGATTTTTGTTGTTGTTTGGAAGAGGAAATGAGCAACACACTTGTTAATATCTTAGTTCCTGTGAAAGATTTGTTGTGCATTATTTTAACCCCTTCAGTATCTTTCTGAGTAATTGTGTTGTCCCTTACTCTTAAATATTCCTGTCAAGGTGTAGGCATGCAAGATAATGTCCTTTCCTCTGTGCGGTTCGAAAGGAGTTCTTTGAGCTTCCTTTTCAGCCATCTTGTCTACACCAACACCTTGTAACCTAATGCTGTATACGCCTTTGCAATTTGTGGATTGACCTTTTGTGACCCTAGTTGATCCTTTGCCATATTGTACCTTGCAGTGATTGTCATGCAAAAATACTGCAAGTTTGTGTTTGTTTAACCAACTTAATGTGTGCTCGAGAGTGAATCCACAAACGCCAACCTTTTCCCTGTAAACCTTGCTTCTTTGCCTTTAAGAGAGTGGGTTGCAACCATCACTAGATCGCGACAGTGCCTAATGAAGGTTGAAACCGTCAGGAGAGCCTCTCCTGTTGTAAATATGGATGCAGGTGACAACTGTCATCACTTTTTGTGCGCTTTCTGCCTTAAGTGACACGTAGCAGCGTGGCTTTGTTAGTGTGTGCCGCCACGAGTCAGCTTGCACCTGGGCGCCCAGGAGCTTGTATCCTTAGAGCTTTCTATTACCGAACCTAATTCTTGTCTTCACCTGTCTGACCCTCAGCCCCGTGTCTAACTCGCATTTTTTTAAAAAGAAAAGCTTTCTTTACAGTCAACCTAAGCTTAACATGGACTCAGGTTCCCAGCGCCTTAATTTGTTTTGTCACCATTGTTCTCTCCTCGTTCAGCCCTCCTGAGTAGTTTTGATCTGATTCCATTAATTACAGATCGACCTCACAGCTTGCGGTTTCCTGTGTCTTTTTCTGTGGGCCACTTGTGCTCCTTTTGCTTCCCCTCACTCCTGCGTCGTGACTATTGAGGGGTTTTTTTTTTCTTTTTTCTTGGCTTTGAGTTGACTGGAAAAATAATTTTAAAATTTAAAAAAAAATGTAAAGTGGATCTGATGAAGAAGTGAACAAAAGATAAGAGCAGATCATTTGAGAAAGAAAATGCCAATGCTTTCTTTGGGAACATGCCCAAATCTCACTCTCCTAGATCTGCATGGTTAGGGCTTGTGAGTGTCAGAGCTGCTGGGAGTGCCAAAGTCCGGAGGAGTTGAGGGGCTGAGGGCATGGAGCAGAATGGAGGAAGCCAAAGAAAGGAGCCCTAACACAGCAGCAGACCGGGAGGGTGAGGAAGCAGGCAGAGGGAAACACCGGAAATGGACTGGAAGGCCAGGTCGGGGAGAATATGGCCTGGGCACTTTAGAGGGGGCCATCTGGATGGCACAGTGGTGGCGAGGGCCAGCTGCATCGAAAGACCGGAGGTTGGAACGGACATCCGGAAAAATGGGAGCAGGGCCCGTGAGAAGGGAGCCATTGCTGATGTTGGGGCCAACTCGGGTTCGTCCCTGTTGGCAGCACCAATTGGTAGCTCCTTCTCAGAAAGCAACTTGCCAAATGTCAGGGTGTCCGTTCCAACCTCGTGTTCGTGAAAAATTAGGAACAACTTTGATGCCAACCAATAGAATGATTAAATGAACATATCTGATTCTTACTCAGCTGTTTTAAAAATGATAATCATGCAGAGTTATGTAGTAGCGTGGAAATATATTTACAGAATATTAAGTGGAAAAAAGCAGGACACAGAATTATATTTATACTACAATTATAACTGTTTAAAAAGGTATGCTTTTAATCAACAGCTGTTGTGTTGTAGGCTTCTAGTTGAGCATTATTTTTCTTAAATTCCTTGATGTTCTTAATGGTGGTGGTGTTGTTACTAAAAAGTTTGTAGTCATGTCTCCATTGCGAACAAAATTTGAACTCATTATCAGATACTTGGAAAATACAGAAAAGTGGAGGAAAACAAACCATATTCCCACCATCCAAAGACAGATACACTCTTTAGTATATTGTTTCTTGTTTCTGTGCACAGGGTTATGATTATAACTGTGTCAAAATGTGTATTCAAAGTTGATGTTATGTCACCTTGGTTTTCAAATGTCCCTTATTAATAGTGTTCTGATTTTAAAAAGTTTATTATGCTTCTATTACAAGCATAATACATACCCAAAGGAAAAAAATTGGAAGATACAGTAAATTAGAAAAGAAAAAAACTTCACTCATATTCCCAACTCCCAACAACTGAATATCTTGATCTGTTTCCTCCATCTTGTGCACAAACTTATGGTGAGTGTTGAATATGTATGCATCAAGTCTACAGTGATAATAAGCGTGGAGAATCATTAACATAGTGTTGTTATTATGGAATTAATGGTTAAATATTTTGTCTCAAATTCCTTGGGTGATCTTTGGTGTTTTGCTATTAAATCTTATGTATGTATTTTCCCATTGCAAATATAATACTCAGAATTTGGGGGAATTCAATCAATTAGAAAAGAAATCCACCCATATTCCCAGCACCTAACAGCTCCTATTAACATCTGTCTGTACACCAGTCTGTGATTGTTAGGGTGTTAATGATAAGTATGCATAGAGTCAAAGATGGGAAGAAATATGGAAAGTAATTAAGAAATAGGTGTGTGGTTGTGGGATTATGGTTAAGTATTTTGTCTTGATTTCCTTGAATGATCTTTATCGTAGTGTTTTGGTAATTCACCTTTATTATATCTATTTCCATAGTAATCACAGCGTGTGTTCATTATAGAAACTTGCAGAAATGTAGAAGAGATACACCCATATTTTCATCATCCAAAGACTGTGGTTAACATCTTGAAATATTTTTGCATCTTGTTTCTGTGCACAGGTTTTTGGTTTGTTAATATGGTTGTGGTCGTTCTATCTCTCTGTAATAGTGTCACCAATAAAAATAAAGTTAACAATAAGATCTTTCCAGTCTCTTCTTTTATCCATTTTAAGTGTCTGGGATTGATAACAGTTTTTAAAATTATAAATCCAAAAACTTAGTGCCTTCTTAGGCCTTCACTTTTGCCTTAAAACTCTTATTTCAGTTTTAAGTATTGCATATTTTGATTCGAAGGGATTTTTAAATGCATGATTCCACATTTTTAGCTATGTTTATACAATTAAAACATTCTTAATAGTGTTTAATCAGTAGATGAGTGGATAAAAAAGCTGCGGTACATTTATACCATGGAATACTATGCAGCAGTAAAAAAGAAGAATATCTTGCCCTTTATGACAGCATGGAGGGACCTGGAGAGTATAATGCTAAGTGAAATAAGTCAGTCAGAGAAAGACAGGTATCACATGACCGCACTCGTGTGGAATCTTAAGTAACAAAATAAACTGATGATCGGAGTGGATTCAGAGACATGGAGCATGGAACAGAGTGTTAAATCTCAGGGAAGGCGGGGGAGGGTGGGTGGATGGGAGGTAGTCGACCAAAGACCATGTATGTATATATGCATGGCCCATGGACACAGACAATAGGGTGCTGAAGGCCTGGTGTGGGGGGTTGGAGGGGGTCACTGGGGGGAAAAGGGGAACATAGGTAATACTTTGAACAATAGGGGAAAAAAACACGATAACCACATGTGAATTTCAATTATTTGAGTCGGTATTCCTAAATCTTCCCTGAGGTTAAAAGGTGTTTTTCTTGAGGTGTCATGTCCCTTGTTGTAAACCTGACCTCACCACCAGAAACATCCTAGGCAACTTGACGGGTTGTGCCCCAGATATGTTGGGAGGTGATTTTTAAATATGCCTGTGCGTCCATCATGGCCAGAGATGTCCAGCCAGGTTGCCCCATCCCCAGTTGGGGATTGTGCCCCTGATTCTATGACACAAAGGAGATTTCCCGTATTTGACATCCTTCTAAGCCCCTTAGCGACTCTGGAGTTTGTCAGAGCCCTGCGTTCTTTCGTACTCTCAGGACTTGTGTGTATTAAAATGGAAGTCCATCCTGATTCAGTCATGTCCTGTGGTGTCTGACTGGTCACAACTCTGATGGTCCTGTGAGAGGGAGCATCAGTGTAGGTCATGGTGAGAGGGTCAGTTCTTGCGTAAGATTGATTTCCCGAAGAGTATATCATGGAAGGAAGTAGACGAAGGGAATGCAGTGAGGGTCCCCTGGAGTTGCCTGACCAGCACTTACACTGGGGAATTCTTCCCCTCCCACCTCACTTGTAGGGATAACTACTCCCAGGCCACCACGTTTATTCTGCGAGAGTTGACCCCTCTCTGGCCTCCGCTGATGGGTGCTCATGGGTTCCCAGTGTCCAGCCACCTGAATGGTCATATAGGTTGGGGCTGGGTGTGCTGAGGAACCTACAGACCTGGGATAAAGCCACATGGCCAGAGGGAAGCTTGGTTCCTGATGCCTCAACCACCCCCATGCCCTGTGAATCCTCACTTTGGGTTCCCTAACTCTTACGTCTTTAGGCTCCTCCCTTCTCTTTATTATTGGTGTCATTCATGCTGTTTTCACCAAACCCAAATCCCTCCCCCTTCCTGGGACCACTCGGTCTTGTGAGAACGCCACAGCACCCTGCCCTGCCCCTTCCAAAGGCTGGGCTTGGTGCCAACCAGGCTCCCCGAGCACATGAACACAAATTATTCCAGTGGCAGCACTGACCATTACTACCAGTTCCTGCTGCACAGGCAGCCAGCGCTATGCCAGTAACTTGTGCTTCTTGAGACCTGATGGTTCAGGTCTTCCTTTGACTCTCTGAGCCGCACAGTGTGCTCCCAGTCGATTTCATGTTTGTTTTATGTGGCTGGAGTGAGTGATTTGCAACCCAAAGGAGCCCCAGCTGATACAGAAGTTGATGCCAGGGAATGGGTTGGCGCTAATCAACCCTGAGGGAAATGTGGATTGCTTTCCATTAAATGTGGGGTCTTGGGGTAGGCAACTGGAAGACCAAGGCATGGGGCAGTGAAACATCTAATTATGGCCTGTGGTCAGTTATCTGTAATCATCTGCTTCCTGGGATGAAGGGCTTGATAGCTGCTGTCAGAGGCAAATCCAAAGACTATAAAGAATGTCTAGACCAGCGGTTCTCAACCTTCCTCATGCCGTGACCCTTTAATACAGTTCCCCATGTTGTGGCGACCCCCAATTTCATTGTTACAAATTGTACATAATGAAAGTAGAGTGATCCATCACAAAAACCATACGTAATTATATATGTGTTTTCCGATGGTCTTAGGCGACCCCTGTGAAAGGGTTGTGCGACCACCAAAGTGGTCACGACCCACAGGTTGAGAACCGCTGGTTTAGACAGAGGTATCAGAGGGTATCTACCAATACCCTGATCCTACAGCCAAATCCATATCAGCCAAGGTCATAGTCTTGCCCTATCTATGCTTCACTGCTCAACCAGTCGACTGGTCGTTATGACATGCACTGACCACGAGGGGACAGACGCTCAATGCAGGAGCTGCCCCCTGGTAGTCAGTGCACTCCCACAGCCAACCTTCCATGGCCAGCCAATCTCCCACAGTCCCTGTCCCCCGGCTGGCTGCCCCAATAGGCCTGATCAGGACTGGGCGAGATGGTGGCCCCAGTCGGCCCCGATCACCAGCCAGGCCAAGGGACCCCACCCGTGCAACATAGGTCTGCGCTTTGACCAGGAATCAAACTCACAAGCTTTTTGATGTATGGGATGATGCTCCAGCCAACTGAGTCACCCAACCGAATGGCTCTGTCTCTAGAATTGTCAGTCGTATGTGAACTAGGTGTGTGTGAGAGTGGGCATCTTGTCTTGTTCCTGACCTTAGAGGGAAAGCTTTCAACTTCCAGCTTGAGCACAGTGTTAGCCGTAGGCTTGTCCTCTTTGGCCTTCATTATGTTGCAGTTGAACTATCCTTGCATTCCAGAAGTAACTTCCATGGATCGTGGTGTGTGATCCTTTTAATGTGCTATTGAGTTCATTTTGTTAGTACCTGTTTCCCCTGCTATCTGAAAGTAGATGTTCCTTTGAGTCTTCCCAAAACTGAAGTGGCGTAACGTGAAGAAACAATGACCTGAGAACACATCTTGCAAACGGATGCACAAAATTAAGATAAAGCACAGATGCTGACAGATACAGGTCAACGTGAAGGTGCCCTGATGCTGACATGTTGAGTGTAGTTCCAGGGCAAGGAGCTTGGCAGGGCCACTCCTGCTGTTTGGGCACCTGCTGCCTCTATAACAATTCATGTGACTTTAGAATTCTTCTGCTAAAGGCGGAATATATTCCCTACCCCGGGTGACTTGCTTTGGCCAATAGAATGAGGGTACAGTGACGGTACCAGTTTCAAGTCTAGGCCTCAAGAGGTCTTGTGTATTTTCACTTATTCTCTTGCATTTCTTTTCTTTTCTTTTTTTTACTTTTATTTTATTTGAGAGAGAGAGAAACATTGATTTGTTCCACGTGTTCATACATTCTTTGGTTGATTCTTGTATGTGCCCTGACTAGGAATTGAACCCACAACCTTGGAGTATTGGGACAATGCTCTAACCAACTCAGCTGTCGGGTCAGGGTGAAAAGTTTGTTTCTTTATCAATAAGCTAGAGGCCCAGTGCCATGCACCGGTGGGGTCCCTTGGCCTGGCCTGCACCCTTTAGCAATCCTGGACCCCTTGGGCGATGTCAGAAAGCCGGTTTCGGTGATCCCCGCAGGCCAGGCCGAGGGACCCCACCAGTGCACGAATCTGTGCATCAAGCCTCTACCATGCATATAAAATCTTTGGTTAATTTCTTCCTGCCCTCGCCCTCCCCACTTCCCTCTGAGATTCATCAATTTGTTCCATGTTTACATGCCTGTGCATTGAACATCTGCCCCTTGTGGTCAGTGCGTGTCATAGCTATCGGTTGAACGGTCGAACGGTCGCTTAGGCTTTTATATAGAGAGATGGCTTATCTATGTACAAGGCTGTAGGTCCCATTGCAGGAAGTGAGGGGGAAGGCAGAAGTGTAGTATACGGAGGGCCCTTCCTCAAGGGCCCCTGGACTCTAAGTGGTCTCTGTTTATAGACTGATTCAAGGAGATTGTGACTCTCGTGTGGTGGCCCTAGTCCACCTCTTTCTGACCTAGACGTTCACTTATTTTGTGATAGAAATCAGGAATCTGGGTCAGAGCTCCCACAGAGTCCGATCACACCAGCCATGCTTCCTATAAGCAGTGGCCCCCTTTTCAATACTCGAGTTCCCCCCATCGTCACAGGGGAGATCAGAAAACATTTCAACCACTGGCACAACCCCCACCTCCGCAACTTGCTCTGATACAGAAGCGGTGGAATGAGTACCTCAGAGGGTTTGGAGCTTCATAGGTGTTCTGTCCATCTTTCCCAGTCTCCTAGATTCCACCATTTTTTTAAACATCCTCACCCAACGATATTTTTTAAAAATATATTTTTATTGATTTCAGAGAGGTAGGGAGAGGGAGAGAGAGAGAGACATCAATGATGAGAATTATTGATTGGCTGCCTCCTGTATGCCCCCTACCGGGGATCAAGCCTGCAACCCGGATATGCACCCTTGACTGGACTCGAACCTGGGACCCTTCAGTCCGCAGGCTGACGCTCTATCCACTGAGCCACACCAGCCAGGGCTCAATGAGGTTTCAAAATGAATGTCAGTCTCCTCAGTGCAGGGGTGCTTGGCTCCTGTGGGCCGTGCTTCCATGTCTGAGCACTGCAGCCTGGCCAGCACTCATTCTGGGCTCCCTGGAAGGCAGAGGTCTCTCTCAGCCCTGGATTATCTGGGGGTTCCCTCTCTCACCTGGGCTGAGCCCCTGGATGGTCGGGGACAGATGTGAGTTTGAGTCTTCTCCCACCCTCACCTGCCTGTGGCTCTGGGCCATTTCTCTGAGCCCGAGTTTCCTCGTCCAGGAAATGAGTAGACTGTGAAGAGGGAACACATCCAACACACTTGGATTCCCA